TGCCCTTTAAAGCCACAAGCACTGCGCTTATCCTTCTTTAATCACCAACTTTGGAAGCAGGTCCTTCAAAGTAATCTCAGATCCAGTCTATTTTTTTTTTTTTATTATTTAAAAAGTAACTAGTTTACTGCAAATATGCTTTTATAAAGATCATTAACACACTTAAAATTAAGCTCACATTCAATTACTTTGCTTGATAGGTTGTAACATTTCTAGCCTCCTTCTACGTGCCTGAAAAAGTAGATAGATAAATGATTTTTCTGTTGATAAACCTCAGTAAGCAGCTAAGCATCACTCAGCTGCTCACTTGCCCCCCCACACACACCCAGTGGAATGGGGGAGACAATCAGAAGGGTAAAAATGCAAAAACACTCATGATTGAGATAAAGATACTTTAAAAATTTTTTTAAGAAAAGAGAAAAACAACAAAGAAGGAAAAAAACCACACTACAAACCAAACACAAGACAAACAAGTGACACAAAAGAAAACAATCTGTTTATCGGTTACAGATTAAAATTTCCAATATATGCACAAAAACTTAATGTTAAAGATTTTTTTTATCTATATCATCTCTTCTAATTGAGCAAGAATATAAGCAAGGATACACTGGAAAACACAAGAAAATTCTGCTTGTAAAAGTAATACTTTTTACACCTATACCACTTCAGATATCAATATGATTGCTAATAGATCAATAGAGCTTTCTTTCAGTCAAAGAGACAGAAATCAGACTGCGTGAGCAATCCAGACAGAATACCTCTAGTGGTTCCAAGCGTATATCTCCTGCCTCTGGCATCAGTTTCTGGATTTGTGTCATATACATGATGTTAAACAATATCAGTATTTGTTTATATATTCATGTTACCCCTTATGTTGTTCTGTTTGCCAGTCGACATTGACTATGAGTATCTCTCAACATATCCAACCCAGTGAGGGCATGCCTCTGTTAGATACTTGTTAGTGAGAAACATCCACCAAGTATGAACGAAGGGAAACTGAGGTAATAATGTCTGCAACCCAGACAGTGAAACAAAGCAAACAGGGACTTAGCAGCCAGCGCTGTTTACATATTACTAATCAGAAATGGCATTGTGTAAGGATATATTTTGATTAATAAGCAAACTGAGCTTGCAGCTCAGTTTTTAAGATCCAGCTAGCTGATAGAACCCAGATGCTCACAAACTGGTATCCGTAGCGATATCCATTAGTCTTCAGTCAATAACAGCAGAAAAATCTTGCCTGACATGTTTTCAACTGGGTATCCTTGGCCAGCACAGCTAGGTGCAAAATTTCTTTGCTCCAGCCAGAAAACCAGCAATTGAGATTCTGACTCTGAGATGTGAATTCTTCAACCAAATCTTCTATCAAATGCTAGCGATGTTTCATTTATTACACATAAAAACCATCCACTTCGAGACCTTGAGCAGGCAAAGAACAGACACACACGAATTCAGCCAAATTCCTGCATTTTGGGGTGGACGATATGTTTAATGTGCCCAAAGCTGGTTTCTAACCAATAAAGAAGCTGTAAAAATGAGACACCCTCCGTACCATCTGATCAAGTGGAAGAGTCAGCAGCAACCCTGTGGCACATTCTCCTTGATGATGAAGCAGCTTAAGTTTCTGCATTCTGCCCCCTTCATCTCTCCAGCCATTCATTCCTGTCCCTGGGCTGCAGGTCACTGCAGTCTCATCAGGCTGATGTTACCATAGAACTCAACTGCATTAAAAATACCTGCCCCCAAAACACTTTCCTTTTTTATTATTTACCTTGAACCACTGTCACTGGTCCTAAAC